CTTCCTTCCTTCCTTCTCTACCTCTTTCCTTCACCCTTTTTCTTTTCCTTCCCTTTCTCTCCTTTCTTCCTTCTCTATCTCTTTCCTTCCTTCCTTCGCTTTTAGCTTCCATCCTTCCTCCTCTTTCTTTCTTTCCTCTCCCTCTTTCTCTCCTTCTTCTTCTCTCCTCTTTCTTTTCCTCTTTTCCTTCCTTCCTTCTTTCCTTCCTTCCTTCTCTCCTTCTTCCCTCCTTCTCGCTCCCTCTTTTCTTCCTTTTCTTTTTTCCTTTCCTTCCCTCTTTTCTTCCTTCCTCTTTCTCTCCTTTCCTCTCTTCCCTTTCTTTCTTTCTTTCTTTCTTTCTTTCTTTCTTTCTTTCTTCTTTCTTTCTTTCTCCCCTTCCTTCCCTCCCTCTTCCTTCCCTTTTTATTGCATCAGCATTTAGTTTTTTGTCATTTTGCTTTTTGGGGTTTTTAAGTCCTTTCACTGTTTTTTGGGGGTTGGGGTGAGGGTTACGCGTGATAGTCACTCATTGGCCTGTTAGGGGTGTAGTGTCCAAATTTCGTGTCAATTCGTCCAGTGGTTTTTGAATTATATTAATCCCACAAGAGGAAATATGTATTGTCTAAGGCTTTCATGGCTGGAATCACTGGGTTGTTGTAGGTTTTTCGGGCTATATGGCCATGTTCTAGAAGCATTCTCTCCTGACGTTTCGCCTGCATCTATGGCAAGCATCCTCAGAGGTAGTGAGGTCTGTTGGAACTAGGAAAAAGGGTTTATACATTACTTTTTTATTTATATAGATATATATTATATATCTCAATCATATATGGAATATCCAAGGTGGAAGAAAAAAATCCTTGTCTTTTTAAAGCAAGTGTAGATGTTGCAATTAGCATTGAGTAGCCATGAAACTGCTGGAGGTAGGTAGGAATGTTTCAATTGGCCACCTTGATTACCATTTCACAGCCTGACAGTTTTTAGGGAGAATCCTTTGTTGAGAGGTGATTAGCTGGCCCTGATTGTTTCTTGTCTGGAGTTCCCCTGTGTTTGAGTGTTGTTCTTTATTTACAGTTATAATTTTAGAGTTTTTTTAATACTGGTAGCCAGATTTTGTTCAGACTAGAAATAGGAAGATTTCCCATTCTCTGCTCCTGGAATTACTGCCTAAAGAGGGCTAGAAAGAACCCCCTCTAAGGGCCCTTCCACACAGCAAAATAAGATATGTGCAATGTGTATAGGAATTTTTATTGATTTTTTTTTTTAAAAACTATAGTCCGGCCCTCCATCGGTCTGAGGGACAGTAAACTGGCCCCCGGTTTAAAAAGTTTGAGGACCCCTGCTCTAGACCATGGCCATATAGCCCGAAAAAACCTACAACAACCCAGACAAGTGTTCTTCCTCCCACCCTGGACATTATTCCATACACTCCACTTGCTACACTGCCAACAAACCTCTGAAGATGCCATTAGCCTCAGATGTGGGTGAGACATCAGGAGAGAATGCTACTGAAACATGTTTCAAACAGCTAGAAAGAAACACAGCAACCCAGTTAAAATTGTTGCTGGATCAGATATTTCAGGAGCTGTCCATGGTGCTGATCTGACTCCATTCCTGCAAAACTCAGCCTTGATTCTCCCCTCAAAGCGACACAATGGTGCGGCCTCCTCCAGACCTTGTTGGAATGCAACTCCCATTATCCCCACCAGTCAGGCATGTAGCCGGGGGGGGGGGGGGGCTCGGGGGGCTTCAGCCCCCCCCCCCGAAATTTTTATGGTGGTTCGCGAAAAGGCCTTATTGGTGCATTATTTAAACTGTTATGTTTATTCATATCATGAACTGATCACCATACTCAATATATCCCATATGCATGATGGGGGTATTGGGGTAATGATACAAAAGGTTTGCTAGGCTAGACCCTCTTTCACTCAGACTCAGCCCCCCCCCCGAAACTCAGCCCCCCCCGAAACCCCCCCTGAAAAAAAATTCAGCCCCCCCAAAACGAAATCCTGGCTACGGGCCTGCCACCAGTCAATCTGGTCACAGGTGAGGGATGCTGGGAGCCAAAGTGCCAAGAGGCCTTCAGTCCCTGCTCTTCCGTTCCCACCAATTGATATTCCAGCGTCTTTCCAGACTGAGGCGGGAAAAGGACAGCCGAGGAGGCACTTGCGCATGCCTTTTCTTCTGAGCACTGGGAGCCTGTGTGGCCTTGCATTTTTAAACCCATCACTTCAGCCCCAAAAGCCTTCTGTGCCGAGCAAAAGAACCCACCCCCCAAAACCGTGAGCTTCCTTTTGCTGCCCGCGCCGTACCCGTGAGCGCTGTTTTTGCTGCAGAAAAGGCTAATAGATTCACAGGCTAAAAATAAAAGCGGGCTCAGCTGGCTGCCCCAGAATCAGAGCAAGAGGCTTTCCAGATACCAAGAGGCCGAGGATGCTGGGCGGCCGAGTCCGGAGCCAAGCCAGCCACTGGCCCCTGCTCGGTTTCATGAAGACCCCGCCCAAGGAAACAAGGCCTGGGCTGGGGGGTCCCATTGAGGTGGGAAAGGAGTCAGAGGGTGTGGGTGGGACCTTACGGAAGGAAAGGGGCTGGACTGGATGATCTTTAGAGGTCCCTCACAATTCTGTAATTTCTTCCCTGAAGGTTTTCAAGTAGAGGCCAGATGGGTTGTTGTAGGTTTTTTCAGGCTATATGGCCATCTTCGAGGGGCATTCTCTCCTGATGTTTTGCCTGCATCTATGGCAAGCATCCTCAGAGGTAGTGAGGTCTGTTGGAATTAGGAAAATGGGTTTATATATCTGTGGAATGACCAGGGTGGGACAAAGGACTCTTGTCTGCTGGAGCTAGGTGTGAATGTTTCAACTGACCACCTTGATTAGCATTTGATTGCCTGGCAGTGCCTGGGGCAAATTTTTGTTGAGAGGTGAGTAGATGTCCCTGATTGTTTATTGGTTGGATTTTCTTGGTGAGTCTGTAGATAGTTTGTATGTTGTGTTTCCTCATCAGCTTCCCTCTGTGGTCAGTGGTTCCCTTGATGTATGACTACCTGTCAGGAGGGCTCTGACTGTGTTTTCCTTCCTGGCAGAAAGAAAGGGGCTGGACTAGATGACCTTTAGGGGTTCCTTCCAACTCTGTGATTGTACCGGGACTGTGGCGCAGCTGGCTGGGAGTCAGCTGCATTAAGATCACTACTGACCGAAAGGTCATGAGCTCAAAGACAGCCCAGGTTGGAGTGAGCTTCCGACTAATTTGTGTAGCTTGCTGTCAACCTTTGATCTAGACACTATACTCCTATTGATGCAATGTGGATACAAACATGAGCCAACAATGTGATGTGGCGGCAAAAAAAGCCAATGGGATTTTGGACTGCATCAATAGGAGCATAGTGTCTAGATCTAGGGAAGTCATGCTACCCCTCTATTCTGCTTTGGTTAGACCACACTGGAATATTGTGTCCAATTCTGGGCACCACAATTCAAGAGAGATATTGACAAGCTGGAATGTGTCCAGAGGAGGGCGACTAAATGATCAAGGGTCTGGAGAACAAGCCCTATGAGGAGCGGCTTAGGGAACTGGGCATGTTTAGCCTGAAGAAGAGAAGGCTGAGAGGAGATATGATAGCCATGTAGAAATATGTGAGAGGAAGCCACAGGGAGGAGGAGGGAGCAAGCTTGTTTTCTGCTTCCCTGGAGACTAGGACGCAATGGAACAATGGCTTCAAACTACAAGAGAGGAGATTCCATCTGAACATGAGGAAGAACTTCCTGACTGTGAGATCCGTTCAGCAGTGGAACTCTCTGCCCCGGAGTGTGGTGGAGGCTCCTTCTTTGGAAGCTTTTAAACAGAGGCTGGATGGCCATCTGTCAGGGGTGATTTGAATGCAATATTCCTGCTTCTTGGCAGAATGGGGTTGGACTGGATGATGGCCCAGGAGGTCTCTTCCAACTCTTTGATTCTATGATTCTATGATTCTATGAAAAGCTGGAATGTTAAATAACCTCTGAATGTCTGTCTACATATGTTGTCTGTCTATGGCATTGAATTTTTGCCATGTATGTGTACATTGTGATCCGCCCTGAGTCTCCTGCGGGGCGAGAAGGGCGGAATGTAAATACTGTAAATAAATAAATACATAAATAAATACATAAATCAATAAATAAATGGTGGAGTGAGGGGCTGCAGAGGGGAATCAAGGAAGGAGTGGTTTTGGAGAAAAACCAAGGGGTTTCCCAGTCGTCGCCATCACCATCGTCATCATCATCATCAGTTGTAGTAGAATTAGTACTAACAACAGTTCCGCCTTTCTGCACATAGGGACTCCGGGTGGCTACTAATCAGAACCTATTTATCAACATCATTCCAATCATTTTAGCCAAATTTTCATAGGGTTAAACCACTGAACTGCTGAATTTGCTGACAGAATGGTCAGCGGTTTAAATCCGGGGAGCAGGGTGAGCTCCTGCTGTTAGTCCCAGCTTCTGCCAACCTAACAGAAACATGCCAATGTTTGAGAGGTACCTCTCAAGGTGGCTGCCAATCATAATCTAGCAAACGCAATCTAAGATAATTTAATACTAATAATAATACTAATAATAATAATAATAATAATAATAATAATAATTAAATATCTCTGAATGGATATCAACTCAAAATGCAAGAGATGCAGTCCCACCCACAACCTCCCCACGTTTCTCCAAATACAAGTGAAATGCATTGAAATGAAATGCACAGGCATAGGATGAGGAACCGAGGGACAATAGAGCCATGGATTCAAATGACAGGAAAAGAGATGCCTCCTAAGCATTGACAGGGGAATCCATTGCTGCCTGTGAGTCAAGTGGAGCCTCCCTCCTTCTCTGGAGGTCTGTAAGCAGAGTCTGGGTGGCCATCCGTCGGGAGGGCTTTTCCTTCCTGGCAGGAAGAGAGAAGGGGGTTGGGCTGGATGGCCCTTGGGGTCTCTTCCGCCTGCACGATGGATGCTGTGATTCTTCCCAAGTGCCGAATCCTCTCCTTGGTCCCCACAGGAGGAGATGGACACCAGCCCCATGGTGTCCTCCCTGCTCAGCGGCCTGGCCAACTACACCAACCTGCCCCAAGGAAGCAAGGAGCATGAAGAGGCCGAGAACAACGACGGGGCCAAGAAGAAGCCCGTCAAGGTAGGAGGGGGGCCAGGGGGGTCAGGGGGGCATGTGCCCTAGAAGGTTGGGCCCTCTGTGTCTGGCCGAGGCATTTGGGGAAGGAGCGTCTGGTGTGTCTGGCAGAGTATAGTGTAGCCCTGGCCCTGCTCACCACTCTGCTCTCTTCCTTTCTCCTTTTCTCCTTCCTTCCTTCCTTCCTTCCTTCCTTCCTTCCTTCCTTCCTTCCTTCCTTCCTTCCTTCCGGTATTCATGGGGATGCATTTGGGATGGATAGGAGCCCTGGCCCCACGCCAGGCTTCTCCCTCCATCCCTCCCTCCCTCTCTCGTTCTTTCTCTCCCTACCTCCCCTCTCTCTCTCCTTCCTGCCTTCTGGTGGTCCTCGGGATGCATTTGGGATGAATGGGAGCTCGCGGCAGATGATGCAAGCCTGGAGCCTGTCCCCTTCATTCGTTAGTTCGTTCTTTCCTCCTTCATTCCTTTCCCTCCTCCTCCCTTCCCTCCCCCTCCCTCCTTCCTTCCTTCCTTCCTTCCTTCCTTCCTTCCTTCCTTCCTTCCTTTCCTTCCTTCCTTTCCTTCCTTCCTTCCTTTCCTTTCCCTTCCTTCCTTCCCTTCCTTTCCTTCCTTCCTCCTTCCCTCCTTCCTTCCTTCCCTCCCTCCCTCCTTCCTTCCTTCCCTCCTTCCTTCCTTCCTTCCCTCCTTCCCTCCTTCCTTCCTTCCCTCCCTCCCTCCTTCCTTCCTTCCTTCCCCTTTTCCCTTCCTCCTCCCTCCTCCCTCCTTCCTTCCTTCCTTCCTTCCTTCCTTTTCCCTCCTTCCCTTCCTTCCTTCCCCCTTCCCTCCTTCCATCCTTCCTTCCCTCCCTCCCTCCCTCCTTCCTCTTCCTTCCTCTCCTTCCCTCCCTCCCTCCGCCCGTCCTTCCTTCTCTCCTTCCTTCCTTCCCTTCCTTCCTTCCTTCCTTCCTTCCTTCCTTCCTTCCTTCCTTCCTTCCTTCCTTCCTTCCTTCCTTCCTTCCCTCCCCCTCCCTCCCTCCCTCCCTCCCTCTTCCTCCTTCCTTCCTTCCTTCCTTCCTTCCTTCCTTCCTTCCTTCCTTCTGGTATTCATGGGGATGTATTTGGGATGGCTACTCACTGCTCTTCTCCCTTCTTTCTCCTTCCTCACTCACTGCTCTTCTCCCTTCTTTCTCCTTCCTTCCTCCCTCCCTCCCCCCTTTCCTCCCTGCCTTCCTTCTCTGCTCTGCTGACTGCTCTGCTCTCTCCTTAGGCCACCCGGATGGGCACCTTCATGGGCGTTTACCTGCCCTGCCTGCAGAACATCTTTGGCGTCATCCTCTTCCTGCGCCTGACCTGGGTGGTGGGCGTCTCCGGCATCATGGAGTCCTTCTTCATGGTCTTCCTCTGCTGCTCCTGCGTGAGTCCCGCCCTGCCCTCATCCCCACACACGCGCAAACACACATGCACCCCAGGGCCATGGAGAAGAGGAGTGTGGGGTGGTGGGGTGCAAAGGGGAAGGGGCTCCCAGTTTGAATGAAAGGAATCACTCCAAGAAGGAAAATCACTCCAGGACCTTCCAAGGAGACCTAGGCTATTGAGGAAGGGGCAAGTTTTCTGCAGCTCCAAAGGCAATGGAACCCTGGATTCAAACTCCAGAAAGGAGTTTCCATTTGGAAGAACAGTGGAATCTGCTGCTGTTTTTGAGGTGTTTGGTGGAGTCTTCTTCCTTCCCTCACCTGTCGGGAGGGATTGGATTGTGCCTTCCTGCCTGCAGAAGGGGTTGGACTGGATGGCCCTTGGGGTCCCCCTCTGCAATCTGGGCTGAGCTCATCCCACAGCAGCAGGGAGTGCCTTGCTTTGAAATGTCCACTTTCTGGGCTAACCTTTCCAGAATGCAGAGGGGTGTGTGTGTGTGTGTGTGTGTGTGTGGATAGCAAGGGCATTGTCCTCCCCAATTAAGACCTTGGTCCCTCCAAGTGAAATTTCAATCCCCCAAATTCCTGCAGCAGCAACAGAGGCTGGCATCTGGTTCTGTTTGGCCTTTCTGCTGGTAAGGCGCTGCAATCTTCTGCTGCCGCTTCCCCAGAGCCAGGCGTCTCCTTTGCTGGAGGAGAATCTCCCCTGACGATTGCAGACGTCCAGCCAGAGGCATCTGCCTCGCTGGGGATGGATGCGCCTGTCTGGGCGCGCAGCGGAGCAGGGAGAGCCTCCAGTCGCTGGACGCTTGGTTGACCCCGGCCGTCTCCTCGGCTTGGCCTGCCCATCTCGCGGTGTGTGTGTGTGTGTGTGTGTGTGTGTGTGTGTGTGTGTGTGTGGTGCTGGGCACAGGACAGCCATGGGGCTTGACCGGCTGCTCCTTGGAGGACGAGGGCCTGGCCCCATTGAAGCATGGACCCAAAGCCCCCGCCTCAGCTGCAGAGGAGGAAGAGGAGAGCTGTGCAGGTTCCTCCTCCTCTTCTTCCGCTCTCTCCCCTTCCCTTTGTGCGCATGATTGGAAGAACAGAACATGGAGACTCAGAGCCTGGTCTTGGAGATCCTGAGCGGCTGGTGCTGCTGACCGTTCAGAACAATAGCTGCTGCTCGAATAGCTTATGCCAGGCACGGAAAAGACAGTATTGCTCCACCTGTAAAGGAATGGTTGACCAAACTGCTACATTTTGCAGAATTTGGTAAACCAACTGGTCTTAGAAATAGAACAATACAATGCTTTCAAAATAGTTGGAAGCCTTTCACACAATATAGATGTAGAACATTTAAAGTAGCCATGGGCAGACTTTGGTCCTTCTGGTGTTTTGGACGACAACTCACACCATTCCTAACAGCCTCAGGCCCCTTCCTTTTCCCTTTCCCTTTCCTTAAGCAGCTGAGAGGGGAAAGAGAAGGGTCATGAGACTGTTAGAAATGGTGGGATTTGAACTCCAAAACACCTGGAGGGAGGGCCCAAGTTGGCCCAGGCCTTTGGCTCTATTAGTGGCCCTTCTCTGGCTATGTTCCTAGGTTGGTAAAGGGAAGCGATGGGAGCCAGAAATACTCAGGATATTATCAGTGGCATCTCCGCACAGCAAGACAAGGAAACACATTGATCACAGTCTCCTTTAGGCTATAAACCAATTTATTGTACAACTGTTTACATTAGAATCTAAGCACATCATAAAAGTGCTTCCTCTCCATCCGGCAGCTACATCGTGAACACAGAACACACTGTTATCAGCACTAGTCCACACCTCCTGCATTCCAGAGTGACGTATGACCTACGACGCACTACGCTGTATCCATTGCTCTCTGCACAATGATTTATGACCTTTCTAGGAATGCCGATTCTCTTCATGGTTCAGTTAACTCTTTCTACACAGGAATTACACTCAGCACATAGCATTGCATTTTTAAACATATATGCACACACTTTGAAATCTACATTATACATTTCAAAACACATCAACAGATATATGGGGTGGTGGGCATGAACTTGCCCAACACTGCCTTCATGCTGACTTTCATGGCTCCTGTTTAGACACCAAGAAGACCAAGGCCCACATCTCATAGGATCTCCCACCCATCAGCCTGTGGCCACATGGAGCCAACTGCAACCACAATGGCATCTTCCACCACTTCCGCTTAGGAGATCCCTCATAGCCCGAGGATGATGGTCCCACAAGTGTAGTGTCTTGGCGGTGGGCCCGTAAGTGGCTGTGGTACCCTATTCTTGATCTGCATGTTCTCCCGCAGTGAGGACATCGGTTTCCAGGTGGAAGGTGGTCCCAGTCAGGCTTGCCTTGACACACATTCTTCCTCTTGGCACGTTTCTCCCTTTCGTCCCCGATTCGCACCTATTCGAATTCCACAGCACTGCTGGTCACAGCTGACCTCCAGTTAGAGCACTCAAGCGCCAGGGCTTCCCAGTAAGTGGAAGTTAGATGCCGGGAAGACCAAGCCCCACATCTCATAGGGTCTCCCATCCATCAGCCTGTGGTCAAATGGAGCTAACTGCAACCACAATGGCATCTTCCACCACCCCTCCCTGGCCTTTCAAACACCCCAGGGCCCCCTCCAGAGAGTCAGAGTCTCAGAAGCAGCACCAAGAGGACTGGGCTCAGGGGGAGTGAATATCTCTTTGGGTAGAACCATCCGCAGTCAAGATGTGCCTTGCCAGGCATGAAGTGACCCCCTCCCTCTTCTCCCCACAGACGATGCTGACAGCCATCTCCATGAGCGCCATCGCCACCAACGGAGTGGTTCCAGGTGGGTAGAACCTTGTGGTGGGGCCCTCTTTTTGCCTCAGGGACACTTAGGAGGCCAGGTAAGCAATGCACCCTAGCTGGGGGTCAAGGGGTGGGATTAGCCTTGGAGTGACAACACCTGCACCTTGGGAAGGGGCAAAGAGCATGGGTCCCAATGGCATAGCAGCATTGTTGACGGGTGGGGGCAGGAAGGAAGAGGGGCATGGGGTCTTCCCAAGGACTCATTTTGAGAGTGGTCAGCTGATTGCAACCAGGTCATGGGGCTAGGCATGCCTCCCTCCTCTTCCTTTTCCTCTTCCTCCTCCTCTCCTGCTTCCATCTCTTCTTCCTCTATCCCCACTCCACTTCCTCCCTCCTTCCCTTCCTCCTTTGAGATGCAAAGCAGCTATATTCATTCCAGAGGGGAGTGGGGCATGGCTGGGGAGGGGGCTTCTATCCAAGCCTAGACTGAAGTCCAACACCCATCAGAAACAAGGCTAGCTAGCCACTCTTTTGAGGAGATGACCAGTTCAGAACTGGCAGGCAGATGCACCCTTTGGCTGCACATTTTGCCCAAAACTGGATCAGTTTAAGGCAGATGCATTCTTTGGGTTGTTTGGGGTCGGAAGAGGAGGAGGGGAGGGGTCCTGTGTTATTGTGCTTGGCTGACCCCCCTCCCCATTGCCTTCCTCGTCTCCAGCCGGAGGGTCCTACTACATGATCTCCCGCTCGCTGGGTCCTGAATTTGGAGGTGCCGTGGGGCTCTGCTTCTACCTGGGCACCACCTTCGCAGGTGCCATGTACATCCTGGGCACCATCGAGATCTTGCTGGTGAGTGGACAGGGCAGGCGCTTCCAAGCCGCCCTTTGAATGATGCCCCTTGTTGTAGGTCAGCCCATTCAGCCTGTGATAGTGTCTGATGTTCATGTAAATGCTGATGTTCATGATGAGAATGGGAATGATGTTCCTGATGGTGGCTTTGGGGATAAGAGTTTGCTTGGGCCTGAGTTAAGCTCAGATGAGAGTCCTGATCTGTTTCAGGAAGAGGGAGATTCCCAAGGCCACATTCTTGAGAGGAGCCCTTCACATCCTTTCTCAGAGCAACTGTCTGAAGATAATTTGTCAGGTGCAAAAATTAATGAGAGCTCAGAGAGAACTGATAATGAGAGCTTTGTCATGATGCCAGGGCTCTGCCAATATTTAGGCAGAGATAAACCAAACTCCCAGTTTGTGTTAAACAATTTAATTAAAGCAGCACTTACTTTCTCACTGTTTTAATACTTCAAAACATAAAGATAGCACTCAGCCACAGAATATAAAACAAAACTGACAGCTGTTGTAGGTTCAAGAAAACACTGTAATCAAAAGGTCCAGTCCAGTGGTCAAACGCCGAGAGTTCAATGAGCAAAGTCCAGGGATCAAGAGTCTATACCGTAGTCAAAAGCCAGTCCAAAGATTCAAGGTTCCGGGATTCTAAGAGTTCAGGAGACAGGTCAGGATACTGAAAATCCAGAGATCTGGGGAAAAACCAGCAGCATCCACCACCAAAATATGACAAATACTTTTCCCCCCAAAGATCAGCCCCAAGGCTAGCTCCTTATATGCAGAAACACCCAGCTGCAACCTATCCCTTGCATACCTTCACCCTTAATGGCTTTCACCCATGAACTCTTACTTACAGATGACTCAGCCCTTTAGAACTTAGACTTATATATGGTGGTTGGTGGTGGTAGGCCTAGCAGTTGGTTACCAACTGCTAAGCCTACCACCACCATCAACTGCAGAACATGATACATGACAAGCTTAGACAGAAAGCAACGTTTCTGTAAACAGAGACAGAGTCTGCAAAGGCTCAGACAGCAGAAAAAAAGATAACAAGACATTATCTGGTAGCAAGGTCAAGAGAAACGCTTTCCTTTCAGTTTTAGAATCTGGAAAAGTCTTATACCAGTGGTTCTCTACCTGTGGGTCCCCAGATGTTTTGGCCTTCAACTCTCAGAAATCCTAACAGCTGGTAAACTGGCTGAGATTTTTGGGAGTTGTAGGCCAAAACACCTGGGGAGGGATCCACAGGTTGAGAAACACTGCCTTATATGGATGCATGGGAAAGTGTTGCCTCATTCGGGTCAACGTTGGAAATCGATCATGGTCTTGTTTTCAAGTGCTCTTAGTTCCATGTACCAAGTTCTTGTCAAGCTCCCATTTTGTCTATGAGGTTTTTCCTGCTGTTCCAGTTTCATGGTTTCAAGTGCCTACTTCCATGGATTCTTATGTACTTTTGGATCTTGTTTTCCCTTGAGGTTTGGGACTATTCTACTTGTATTCGTAGAATCATAGAATCAAAGAGTTGGAAGAGACCTCATGAGCCATCATCCAGTCCAACCCCATTCTGCCAAGAGGCAGGAATATTGCATTCAAATCACCCCTGACAGATGGCCATCCAGCCTCTGCTTAAAAGCTTCCAAAGAAGGAACCTCCACCACACTCCAGGGCAGAGAGTTCCGCTGCTGAACGGCTCTCCCAGTCAGGAAGTTCTTCCTCGTGTTCAGATGGAATCTCCTCTCTTGTAGTTTGAAGCCATTCCTCCATTGCGTCCTAGTCTCCAGGGAAGCAGAAAGGAAGCTTGCTCCCTCCTCCTCCCTGTGGCTTCCTCTCACATATTTATACATGGCCCTAATCATATCCCCTCTCAGCCTTCTCTTCTTCAGGCTAAACATGCCCAGCTCCTTAAGCCGCTCCTCATAGGGCTTGTTCTCCAGACCTTTTATCATTTTAGTCACCCTCCTCTGGACACATTCCAGCTTAGAGTCAATATCTCTCTTGAATTGTGGTGCCCAGAACTGGACACAATATTCCAGGTGTGATCTAACCAAAGAGGAATAGAGCACGGGGAGCATTACTTCCTTAGATCTAGACATTATGGTCCTATTGATGCAGGCCAACATCCCATTGGCTTTTTTTGCTGCCACATCACATTCCTGGCTCATGTTTAACTTGTTGTCCATGAGGATTCCAAGATCTTTTTCACACGTACTGCTCTCGAGCCAGGCCTCATTGTCCCCCATTCTGTCTCTTTGTATTGGATCTTTACAGGTTTTGCTATTTTTACTGCTTTGCCTACATGTATTCTTCAATAAACTGCTTGCTGATTTTACTATACTGATGTGGCGTTTAAGGTCAGAGATGTTCCTGCTCTGGTGTACGACACCCTTAGAGTGCTCCACGTAGGCTTTGCAAATGCAGGGCCCTCGCTCTTGATAGATTTTGGACCCTTTCTGTGCCATCGCCACCTTCCCAGCATCGTTCTCTTTGACCATGAAACCATTGCAGGCACTGAACAGAATTAGGAGTCTTTCTTCCTGGGGGATGCAGCTTGGAAACATTAGAAAACAGTGGAAAACCCCAGCATACCTCATTTGCTCAAAGTCCTTCATGGCATCATAAAGGTCTTTACCCTTTTGCAATGTCCTTGCTGATGGAAATAGCAGCCTTCAACAAGCCTCCTCTACTAGTTGTTTGTTATGTATCTAATTCAGATTGCTTACTTTCTTGTATATGTGTGTGTTGCTATGCAGTTTTCCTTAACTCTATGTTGTGGGAGGGGCTGCAGACCATGTGACCAGATCTGGGACTATTCAGATCTCAGACTCCATTTGCAGTCAAAACAGAATGCTTTAGGAGACAGAGACTCTATTAGATTCTCAGAGCAGAAAGATGCTTTAGACCAGTGGTTCTCAACCTGGGGTCCCCAGATGTTTTTGGCCTACAACTCCCAAAAATCCCAGCCAGTTTACCAGCTGTTAGGATTTCTGGGAGTTGAAGGCCAAAAACATCTGGGGACCCCAGGTTGAGAACCACTGCTTTAGACTATAGACTGTTAAGATTCTAAGAAGTTTTTCCATCTGAACATGAGGAAGAACTTCCTGACTGTGAGAGCCGTTCAGCAGTGGAACTCTCTGCCCCGGAGTGTGGCAGAGGCTCCTTCTTTGGAAGCTTTGAAACAGAGGCTGGATGGCCATCTGTCAGGGGTGATTTGAAGGCAATATTCCTGCTTCTTGGCAGAATGGGGTTGGACTGGATGATGGCCCAGGAGGTCTCTTCCAACTCTTTGATTCTAGGATTCAAAGAATCATAGAATGCCCTGTGTTATTTGCACAGAGAAACTACTTCAAATTCTACCTGTAACTGGACTGATATGCAATGTCCCTGTATGCTGAATACGTGAAGTTTGTGAGTAAATTAACCATCTTGCTTTTAAAGAAGTCTACTTATTTTTGGTCTCTTGAGAGCATGATTTAAACCAAGATGTTTTTTGGGCAACTGAAAGAACACTTCTAAAACTCTGCTCTATATGTTTTTTTGTGCATTGGCATATCATTGTCCCTAACAGTTCAAAGAGACATCTAGGTATATCAGTCTAACTGTTGAGAAACCCAATTGCCTTGCATGAATACTAGTGGATATTTATCACTAGGGAGAAGTTTGACTCAAGCTGGTTTTTAACTCTTCTCTGGGAATTCCTGATTTTCCCAAAAGGCTATGAATGCCATTTTCCAAAAGGTTATGGACATTTCCATTTCCCAAAATTTGCAGTGGGGGGTCTTTGCATCCTTGGGCTCCTCTTCCCTTGGGGTTGTGGGCCTCTGGGGTGCATGGTCCTCTCTGTGGGGTGCGATGTCCCCCAATTATATTATGGTAATGACATTAATAATACATCTTGAAGTGTATCTATGAGTGCCATGTTCAATATGACACTCATAGATACACTGTGAGAGCCGTTCAGCAGTGGAACTCTCTGCCCCAGAGTGTGGTGGAGGCTCCTTCTTTGGAAGCTTTTAAACAGAGGCTGGATGGCCATCTGTCAGGGGTGATTTGAATGCAATATTCCTGCTTCTAGGCAGAATGGGGTTGGACTGGATAATGGCCCATCAGGTCTCTTCCAACTCTAGGATTCTAGGATTCTATAATGTATTCTGCTTTTAAAAGTCCCTTCATCTCACTCTCTTCCTCCTTCCTTCCTTCCTTCCTTCCTTGGTTCTCTCTTCTCCTCCTCTCGCAGGCCTACCTCTTCCCTCCAATGGCCATCTTCAAGGCGGAGGATGCCAGCGGGGAGGCGGCTGCCATGCTGAACAACATGCGTGTCTACGGCACTTGCGTGCTGAGCTTCATGGCCACTGTGGTCTTTGTGGGTGTCAAGTACGTCAACAAGTTTGCCCTGGTCTTCTTGGGCTGCGTCATCCTCTCCATCCTGGCCATCTACGCCGGAGTCATCAAGTCCGCCTTCGACCCACCCACCTTCCCGTAAGTGACCTCATCTCAGTGGGGAGAGGGGGGTGTCTGCACTGGGGAGTTAGTGCAGTTTGAGACCACTTTGACTGATATTGCTCAGCTCTCATGGGATCGTGGGATTTGGTGAGGCACCAGAACTCTTGGGCACAGGTAGCGAAACACTACAATGCGCGTGATGCCATAGCATTAAGCCAAATGCATTTAAAGTGGTGCCAGACTGCATTCCTTTCTACAGTCTAGTCCAGGAGTGGCCAAACTTTGGACCTCCCTCCTGGTGTTTTGAAGTCCAAAAGTCTTGAAGGGCCGAAGTTTGCCCGTGCCTGGTCGAGATGCATCACTGCTAAAAAGTCAAGTTCCCCTTTCTTTTTCCTTCTTCTACTTCCTCGCTTCCTTTCCCTTTTCTTTTTCTTCCTTCTTCTCCTTTTC